GTCTGAATCTTTTCTTCAGAAAGAGAAGTAACCCTTTATTGATTGCCTTCTCTGACATTTTCATCCTAACTCTATATTTAAAGTTTAACTGCCACGCCCTCTCCCCTCAGTTTCTATAAACATCTCCTTTCTGGTATCCCAGATTTGGGAAACTTTTTTTTGATAAGAATTTTGTTAAACTTTGTAGGCATAGGTATTAGGCACTGTTGCAAGAAATGTCTATCTGGGTTCAGCTCTAAGTGGGAAAAAGAGACTGGAAACATGGAGGCTGCTTGGAAAGATGGCTTAATGGTGGATGGGACCACATGCTGTACAGAAAAGGGGATCACATACTTCAAGATATTGGGTGAAAAAGAGAAAAGAGGGGAAAAAGGGGGCTTGCTGAGAGTTCCTGGGTTTTTTATACTCTTTATTCAGCCCCACCTCTTTGTTTCCTGTTTCTGTGTAAGAAATGTATTCTGATTGGTTGTCAGACTCTGAGGGGTGTGTGTGTGTGTGTGTGTGTGTGTGTGTGTATGTCTTAGCTAACTTTGTAGGTTGTGTGTCTTTTGAGTCCCAAGCTTCGTTGAGTTCCCAGATGCCCTATGGTGAGTTTCTGTTGCAGATGGGTCTGCCTGAAGGAGGTAGATTTTTGTTACGTAGAATAGATGGGCTCAGGCCTTTAATGGCCCCTTGACAAAGGTGGGGGCTATTAAGAGTAAGTCTGTTTCCTACCAAAAAACACGTTTCTCCATTTCTTATCCAGGGAAATATAATATTCTGCTTTTTCAATATTTCCCAGGATATTTGATTTTTCTAGGAGAGGGGTGGGTGCTAACTTCCTATAGCACTTTATAGGCACTTATAGGCATATTCAAGAAAATGTTGGTTCATGTACTATAGCTTATCCATGAAACTGAATTATGCCTATTGAAATATGCAATTAGATTGGATCTTCTTTGGAAGAGACACTAGACAGCTTTATTTCAGTAAATAGCATAGCTAAATAATTTTGAGAGCCCAGAGTACTCTCCTACCAATTTGTTCCCCACCCACTCATATCCTGCAAATGTTGGAGTACTTTCCTTTTTGGCATTTCATTTCTAAATGAGCTGCGATTGACAATAATATCTTTCTTGGCATTTTCAACATATACCAGCTTCTCTCAGAAAGTAAAGATTTTTTTTTTTTTTTTGTATAAGCCCAAACTTCCTGCTTTGCTTTTCAGGCTCATAGTCTCTTCTTGCCAAGATTACATGACTGGAAAGATGAAAGCAGAGAGAAAGGTTACTATTAAGCCAGGGAAAATTTGCAAGGGTGATCATCCTTCACACTGTTGCTTATGGGTTTTCCTAGAAAGAAATTTAAATGCAGGCTGGGGTTTTAGGTAGAAGGAGGCAGTAGTTCTTACCTACTTGGCTTCTGCTTGTTCTGTGGTATGTAGAAATTAAACACCCACACACCCTCCTAGAGAATGAAATATTTTGGGGAATATTGAAAAGATAGGATAGACTATTTTCCCTAAAGAAAAAATGGGGAAAAAATCTTAAGGGAGACAGAAACCAGCATTAGTCTCCCTGCCCCAAGCAGAAACTGAGGAGGCCAGCTTTTAGAAATGCAGGTTTGGTAATCCATTCAGAAAGATTGGGTCAGACAGAAACTCTAGATAAGCAACATAATTAGGCAAGACAAGATTAGCTCAGACAAACACCCAGCATTTGCATTTCCCTGTTTGCCTATAGAGCCAGCCATGACCCTTACATGACCCCATAGAAATCAAACAGGTATAAAAACCCACCCTAACTCTCAACTCCCTTTTGTCAGCTGTCCCAGAACTACACACTGTGTGTGTGTTGGTTCTGTTCACTAATAAACAAACTCTTTCTTTCCAATCAGCCACAATTTTATTCCCAGCTTGGAAATGGATCTGGATTTTTCTTCTGAAAGGTAGAAGAGATAACTTTAATCTTTAATAACTAGAGGTATTTACAAATATTTAAGTCAGGTAGAGAGCCTTAATATTCTGTTCGCCTGAAGCCAATATGAATAGTTGCAAGTTTATCCAGTACACTGAACCTGAATTTGAACAGTTTCTAAATTTGCACAATTGTGTTGAGTTGCAGACTAACCAAAAGGATTGAACAGTACAGTAGGGAAAGAAAAACCCTTTCTAAGTGAACTTTACAGTATTCATGTTGAAATGCTGGAATGCTGGAAGGAGATTTAAGAGGTGATAGTATGATGTTGAGGAATGGATGGGGAGCCAATGCTATAAATGTGATCAAGGGGGGAAAAATGATAAAGGAAGATATAAATCCCAAGGGTGTGATTTTGCCTCCTTTGTTATATGGAAGTGGGAATTGAATGCAGTTGGAATGGAACACTTAAGATGTGTGTACAATGAAAGAAGAAATGACGGGGTCAAGCATGCAATTGCTTGAATGACTTTGGATCGAATATAAAAATGAAAAAAAGGAAGGAATAGATAGGGTTTGGACATAAAGCAAGAATCAATGAAGAATGAATCACAAAATAAATATGTCAAGAAAGAATGAATGGCTTCAGAAGAATGCTTGGAGTTGAGGGGATCTTCAGAAAGATATATGAAACATTTAAAGAACAAGGCAGACAAAGAAACTTGGCAAGAATAGAAAGGAACAGCGAATGGCATGTTGGATAACTTGACTTAGCAGTTTTCTCTTTCTTATTTCATGCCTTTAATTTCTTTAGCTTATTACTTCTTATTCCTTTTCTACATTCTGTACAGTACAGGTAGTTCTCAACTTATCACCATTCATTTAGTGAACGTTCAATGTTACAACTGAAAAAAGCGACTTACGACTGTTTCTCACATGATCACGTGATTAAAATTCAGATACTTATGACCGTTGCTGTATCTCAGGGTCACATGACCCTCTTTTGCAACCTTCTGACCTGCAAAATCAATGGGGAAGCCAGATTCACTTAACAACCGTGTTCCTACCTTATCAACTGTGAGGATTCGCTTAACAGCTGTGGCAAGGAACATCGTAAAACGGGGCAAAGTCACTTAACAAATGTCTCACTTAACAACATAAATTTTGGGCACAGTTGTGGTCGTAGGTCAAGGACTCCACCTGTATAGCTCACTTCCAGAGAGAAATGATATGTCTGCATATAGGTGCAGATGCATTTACAAGTGGATAAAACTTGGGAGCCTTGTTATTAGGAGTTTACTAATTGCTTGTACCTGTATATAACAGACATGTAGGTATGGTGGTTTTCATGTGCTGACTTTGGACCCTTTCACTCCAAGAGGCTACTGTATATCACAGGGATCCCCAAACCCTGGGCAATAGCCCACTACTTACATGAGTGGTGGGCTGGCATCAGTGGTGGGATTCAATTTTTTTTGCTACCAGTTCTGTGGCTGTGGTTTCTGGGCGTGGTTTGTGGGCATGGCAGGGGAAGGTTACTACAAAATGCCCATTCCTTCCACACCGCACTAACCTGCTTTCCAGCTCCATTCTCCTGTGCAGGGCAACAAAAGAAGATCAGCTGGGAGGCAGCAGGGGCGGGGCCAGCCTATTTGCCAGTTCTCCAAACTACTCAAAATTTCCGCTACCATTTCTCCAGAACTGGTCAGAACTGGCTGAATACCACCTCTGGCTGGCATGCACTCAGCTTGACTTGTGCGAATGGAAGCCCGATGCTTCTGTGGGCCAATTCCCATCTCTGCCATCACCCCGGTTGGGCTACCAAGCCATAAACGTTGGGACCACTGGAATAACATACTGCTGATCTTTCAACACTCAATAAAGCATATTCCAGTCCATTATGCTTACCTTTTGCTCCTCATTTGTCCTTTTAAGTTAATACAGGTAGCCTTCGACTTACAACAGTTTGTATAGGGACCATTCGAAGGTATAACGGCATTGAAAAAAGTTACTTATGACCGTGTTTCACACTTACAACTGTGGTCACATGATCAAAATTCAGACACTTGACATCTGATTCATATTTATGACGGTTGCACTGTCCTGGGCTTGTGTGACCTTCTTTTGTGACCTTCTGAGAAGCAAAGTCAGTGGGGACGCCAGATTTACTTAACAGCCCTGTTAGTAATTTAATAACTGCAGTGATTCGCTTAACAAATGTGGCAAGAAAGGTCATAAAATGGGACAAAATTCAGTTAACAACTGTCTTGCTTAGCAACAGAAATGTGGGACTCAATTGTGGCTGTAAGTCAAGGATTACTTGTATATTATGCTGTATTTCCATTTCTCCCTTCCTGCATGAGTAGCTACAGTCCAGACCCTATCAAGGCACAGGTAAGCTTACCTGACCATGGAAATGGCCTGTGGATGTAGAAAACAAAAAGAAAAGCGCTTTAGGTTCTTTACCTCAAATCATGGTGTCAATGTGTCAGATTCAGGAGTGGGTTGCTGCCGGCATTACTGCTGGTTCAGCACGCAAAAATATTTGCATGCACATACTTGCTTTCTTCACGCCCATGCACATTTGTACCTGAAAAGGCCTGCGCATTGGCAAAACGTTAAAAAAGGGGGAAAATTACATTTTGGCAATGAAAATTGTTCTGTGCATGCGTAGAACCAAAAAAACAAGATGGCGCCACCGAAGGAGAACCAGCGACCCAGGCCGCCAAGTTACTACCTATTCTTCCGAATCCGGTAGGAATCAACTTCTGGTCAGGTTGCACCTGTTACCTAGAATATTCATTGTGAAACAACCTTAATGAGATTCACGAGTGGCTGTTTTACTTTTGTTTTAATTTTTAATTCCAGGTTACAGAACTTAATCATGTGAAGAATATATTGCGGTTGCCAAAAGGCACAAGGAAACATGCTGTAGGGATATATTTTAACGATGACACATCCAGGACTTTTGCTTGTGAATCAGGTAGGTGTAATGACATAGACTAATGTCTGTGTGTGTGTGTGTGTGTGTGTGTGTGTGTGTGTGTGTCTGCCCAATTGTGGTAGCTGTAAAATATTGCAAATGGTCCATACTATTCTGTGTGTGTGTGTGAGTGCACAATTGTGGTAGCCGTAAAATATTACAAATGGTCCATACCATTCTGTGTGTGTGTGTGTGTGTGTGTGTGTGTGCACAATTGTGGTAGCCGTAAAATATTACAATTGGTCCATACTATTCTGTGTGTGTGTGTGTGTGTGTGTGTGTGTGCACAATTGTGGTAGCCGTAAAATATTACAAATGGTCCATACTATTCTGTGTGTGTGTGTGTGTGTGTGTGTGTGTGCACGTGTGCACAATTGTGGTAGCCGTAAAATATTACAAATGGTCCATACTATTCTGTGTGTGTGTGTGTGTGTGTGTGTGTGTGCACGTGTGC